TTATGGGTCTAGACTAAATCTTTTTCATGTGGATATTCAATTTTTCCAGCACCATTTATTAAAGAGGCTATCTTTCCTCTGGTGTATGCCTTTGGCCCCTTTGTCAAAGATCAAATAGCTGAATGTGCTTGTGGTTGTTTCTGATTCCACTAACCAGTTCCATTGATTCACATACCTGTTTTTGTGCCAGTACCATACTGTTTTAATCACAGTAGGTTTACAATATAATTTCAAATCTGGGATTGTGATGCCATCTGTTTTGCTTTTGTTATCCAGGATTGCTTTTACTGTTCTGGGTCTCCTCTGTTTCCACGGGAATTTTAGTATTATGTTCTTTACATCTGTGAGAAATTCTGTTGGTATTTTTATTGGAATTTTCTTAACATGGCCCCACTGGCTTGAACCACTGGTGGTATGTGCATGACAATCCTAACAGGTGGCTTGTACCACTGGTGGTAGGAATGAATCTAATCATTTTTATTGGTCATTTTATTAATAAAATTAAATCAGAGCTGCCTGGCAGAGACACATGTGAATTAAATCAGAGCTGCTTGGCAGTAAGACATAAGAATTACAGTACTATTGTGAATGTGTTAAATTTGTATATCATTTTTGAAGTATAGCCATTTTATTATATTAGTTCTGGCTATCCAGAAACAGGGAAAATCTTTCCATTTTCTAATGTTCTCCTTGATTTCCACATTCAGAGTGATGTAGTTGTCATTGTAGAGGTCCTTCACTTCCTTGGTTATGTTAATTCCTAAGTGTTTAATTTTTCTTGATGCTATTGTAAATGGTATTGTTTTCCTATTTTTTTCACAATGAGTTCATTATTAGTGTACGGGAATGCTATTTATCTTTGTATCCTGCCACATTTGGGCATTTGGTTATGAATTCTAGGCGTCTTTTGGTGAAATTTTTGGGGTCTTGTAAGTAGAGAATCATGTCAACTGCAAATAATGATACTTTGACTCCATCTTTTTCTATACATATTCTTTTTATTTCTTTCTTTTGCCCAATTGCTCTGGATAATCTTTGAGGACTATTTTGAACAGGAATGGTGACAGTGGACATTCTTGTCTTATTCCTGATTTTAGAGGAAAAGCTTTCAGATTCCCCCACTTAATGTGATGTTGACTGTAGTTTGGTAATGAATGGCTTTTACCAGATTGAGATAAGGTCCTTCTATACATATTTTCTTCAGGGTTTTAAAAAATATCATAAATGGATATTGAATTTTGTTAAAAGCTTTTTCTGCATCTATTGAGATGACCATGTGATTTTTGTCCTTGCTCTTATTTATGTATATATTGCATTTATTTATTTATTTCCTTTTTGCTACATGTATTTTTTTTCTTTTTTTTTCTTTTGGTTCCGGGGATCGAACTTGGGTCCTTGTGCTTGCCCAGCAGATACTGGAACCACTGAGCTAAATCTCCCGCCCCTTATGTGTATTCTTTTTAACTGAAGGATTAGTCAATGAATTTTAAGTATATAAAATCACTACTTTTAAAATATGTTTCTATATCAATTTAGAACAGCAAAATTACCACCCATATCAAGATATTGAACAAAAATATTACATATGAATGTCACATAGTCTCTTAAATGTGAAATTTCTTATAACATCCTTATTTCTGCCTAATAAAAATGTTACTCTTCATTTCTATGACCTAGAGATTCTGTTACATTTAAATGCCTTTAATCTTTGTTTTATACAAATGTGACTATCTTTGATCCAAGATTGATTTGTTTTACTCAATTTGGGTGTTATTAATTGGGAATTTAACCAGTTTATGAGTATTGTTCATCTTCATTCCTGTCAATATCTTTTACACAAATTTTAATGCTTCCTTGATATTTTTTCTTTTGCTTTTTTCTTGGCTTTTCATTTTTTTTTCAAGTTGGAATGTATATAATCTATTTTTGTCACAACTCAATGACAAATTGACTTATATGAACTACCATTTGATGCAGTAAATACTGGCTTTCCCAATCAGTATTTCAAACATATGCACCTCTCTCCAATCAGTGCTTTGGTAATTTTCTCTTTACATTATGAATATTAACATTATGAACTTGTTAGTTATTTTAAAGGAAATACAAACAATACTATTTTCCAATTTTGTCATATTAACAATTAGCATGTTTTTCTGTTTTTGTTCTACCCACAGTGACAAAGTACTTTTATCTAACATAAATTTGGCTTGAAACATGCATCTTTGCAATCTTACATGGAAAAGATAAATCAGTATTTATTTGCCCAATACATTGAATATTTGGCATGCACTTTGACAATTTAAAACTACATAAAACAAAAACTTTAGATCCAGTTTACAAATCTATTTTGCAAAATTGTTGCATACATCCTGTATGTAACAATTTTATATGTCATGTTCTTAATTAGATTTAACCATCAAATTTTTCATACATTTATCTTCCTGCCCTTTTTAATTTTTCTTGGCTGCAGTAAATCATTCAGCAAAATTTTCAGAGAAGGTTCTTGATTGATGTACTTTGTTAACTCTTTGGTATCTGAGAATGACTTCCAGTTACCTTCATACATGAATACTAACTTGTTAGGGTATATAGTTCTTTGTTCAAAATTATTTTTCCTTTAAACTCTGTAGATGTTTTTCTATTGTCTTCTGGGATTTAGAATTGCAAAAGAAAAATCTAAGGTTAGTTTAACTTTTACTCCTTTATAGGTAATCTGCTTTCTCTGTCTGGATACTTGCATAATTTTTCCTTCATGCTTGAATAAACAAAATGTGGTATTTATATACAATGGAGTTCTACTCTGCTACAAAGAAAGAGAAATTTGAGTCATTTCTGGGATGCACCTTGAGACCATAATGGTAAGTGAAATAAATCAAACACACAAATTTAAATATTGCATTGTTTTCTCTTGTGTGAGAAATACAAAGAATAAGTAAAATGGAGCAAAATGGAGGATAGATATTGGGAAGTAGGAAGAGCATATTCAAATGGGAAAGCGTACATGGTGGGGGAGGAAAGAAAGGGAAAAGGGCTATAAAGAAAGAATGGAAGGGAAGAATGGAAACAAAGCTTTGGTAAATAGTGGGGGAGGAAGGGTTGAAGGAAGGGGAAGTGAATGGGAAAAGAAAGAAGAATTAAGATGTATTATGTACAGGTACAAATTTCCTATGATGAATGTGATGATTATGAATGGCAAATATTTAATAATAAAAATAAAATTTAAAAATGTAATGAAACCCCCCCTAAATTTTTTTTATCCTTGAAATTTTAAAAAGTCTTGAGGATATGTCTAGGTGTTGTTCTCTTCTCATTAAATTTTGAAGGCACCCTGCGAGACTTCATTTGCAGGCCTACTTTATTCTTCAACTATGGAAAGTTTTCTTCAATTAATTTCTTAAATTTTGTTTCAGCTTCATTTTCTTTGCCATATGTTTCAAGTATTCCTATTACACATAGATTGTATCTCCTGGATAGAACACCTCCATCTCTCTTTTTCTCCTCTCTTCTTAATTTCTTTGAGCTTTTCCTCTGTATTCTGTGAGAATTTCTTTTGTTTTGCATTTATGTCAGTGATTTTATTTTTTTATTTTTTATTTTGGCAGTTTACTATATAATAAATATCATAACTTAATAATTAAATAGGGACTCTGGTGTCATTTTTCTTCATGAAGGAACACACTGTAATGGGGATTATAAGGGAAGTAGCTCTCTTACAAGGAATTTTCCAACCTGTAGACATTTTCCCTCCTCAGATAATGTATAGCAATATCAGCTAATGGCTTTAGTGTTTGTCAAGTAGGAGCCATTCACAAACACATCTGCAGATTTAAGTTAATTCAAACTGCACCATAGGCATTTGAGAGTGGTACTATCCTTAATCCCACTTTACAGCTGAGGAATGTGATAAAGAATTGGCAGGAGCAGAGGAGAAATGTATAACTCCACAGTTTGGCTTCAGAGTCCATGAACTGATGCAGCTGCTCCTGGCTTTCTCTTTCACAGCAGAGTAAGGCATTGTTAGGTGGATGAAATTCACATTTGAACATGAGTTCATTGTGTCAAGAGTTTGGAAACCCTGGTAATGAACAATGTATTAGCAGTTCTATTTTCATGTTCCACAAAAAAATAAGCCAGCATGTCTGTCATTTTCTTACACCTATGGGAAACCACCAGTTAAAATAGGAGCAAAACAGGAGAATCTGCAGTTAAAATTATTTTAGATGGTTATGTTTCAGAAAAAAATAATTACATATTCAACTGAGTGTTGATCCCTTTAAATTGTCCCTCGTAAGCCTGAACCTAGTGACAGCAGAATTTCCCACAGAATTAAAAAATGCATACACATCTCGGTATGTAGAACATGAGTGTGTGTATTCATTAGAATGGGTGCTTATTCTCAAAGGTGGAAAACTGGTTTGCTTCTGAGTATAGTTTTATCTGAAAATAATCAAAGCATTTTGAGCTAAGATGGGTGATGATGTAAAATTGAGCAAAATTAATTTGAAGTAAAAATAGATCTTAGCTTAAATAATGCGTGGCCTTTTTAACATGTAGGCACCAACTTCGACCTTTACTTTCTCTTGCAAAGGACCCAGGTAACTTTGAAATTTAATTCTACAAGGTAAATCTCTCATCATTCCCGCGAGGTATTTCTGGTTCTTCTTGCTTAATAAGTTAGAAATTTGGATGGTGACTTATTTGCATATGAACTGCCCACAGTTTTCTAGGTTATGCAGCACTAGGTACCCCTTGTGATGAAAACAACACAATAGCAAAACACATCTCAGATGCAATGCTGTGACACATTTAATCACCCACTGACTACCTGCCTTCATTAATGGTCCATCAGAAGAATCATTCATTTTTAAAATTCACTGAAGCCTAGTTCTACATTATTCTCACATCAGTGGGGAAGAAACCATCCTGGACCCATCAGCAGGGATCCCTTCCGCGCAGGCCTTCAGGCTGGGAGAGGATACGCTCGCCAAGGCACCTGCTGGTTAGACTTCAGAAAAAGCGGTGCTGAGCGTCCCCGCCAGGATGGTGCAAAAGGGAAGGGCAGCAGGAGGTTGTTCCGCAGACCCTGTATTTCCTTAAAAATGAAGACAGCCCACAATGCAGCTATAAATCCTGGACCAGCAGTGATTATTGGAAAACAGACCTCGGCGCTGAGAGAGTGATTAGCTAAGAACCAGCAGCAGGTAGCTATTGCCCAAAGCACTCCTGACAGGAACCCTGGTAAGACGGCCTCCGGATAGAGTTTGAGACTGTTTCTCATGGCTATATAGTAGACCAGAAAGTAGGCTATACTTGTAAGAAAGATGCCACTGAAGTGCGCAAAAACATAATATAAATCATACTGGCTTGTCCCGGCCTATATGCTGTCATTTCTTTTGTCATGGTCCTTGATAAAAATGATTGGCACAAATGTAGAGTCATAGAGTGTCCCGGATATCACCGGGAGACTGCACCCCAGCAGGCGGTGGTGCGCTGCTAAGAGTCTGTCCACCCAGGAGGAGCCAGCACAGGGGTCTGGAGTTGAGTTGATCACATGCTCTGTCAGTAACAATGTAGTATCCGTGGCACAAGTGTTACATGGTATTTCACTTTTGATGAACAAAAATATGAAAGCACTCACTACTGAGAGCCCAGCTCTGATGTAATTCAGCAGTGGCTTTGATACATCCTCAGCATCCATTCCAAACCAGCCAAACCTTGAGCTTGCCCAGCCAGTCACGGCATTAAATGATCCCCAGATTAGGATTCTAAGGCCTAGACCAATGGTTTTGATAACTGGTACAACAGCAATATTCCCTGTTGTCCAAATGTACCCTTCAAGGATTGCAAAAGGCCAAAACCTAGGGCAATGGAGTATCAGGTTGACTGCCAAGGCAACTAACCAAATAGCAGCACAAAGCACCCACTGAAGAAACATCCCATCACCGGTATCATATCTTTTAAGTGGTGCAAAATTTGATCCAAACAAAAGTATCACTATGAAAGAGGAGAGGTAGCCAATGTCTAGTTCTGCTCTATTATTGCTCATGGTTCCAAGGTCTGCCCAGGGGGAGCTGGTTCACTTTAGACTTGCTGTGCTTCTCAAGAGCTTCGAGCCTCTGCCTGGACTCCACCTCCACCAGGCATGAGGTGAGGGTCAGGCAAGCCTGGGGCTCTGTCGGGCAACTGGCAAAGCAGGAAGGCCCTTTGTGTAAAGGCTGATCTTCCAGGAAGGTGACTGCCCTCCATCCCCCTTCCGCTCCCTCAGTGATTTTATTTTGTAACCAACCCTATTTACGTAATTCCTTTAAATGAAAGGCCATGATCTCTGCCATGTGATCACACACAACCTGCTCTATAATAAGACCATATAGCTAATGAATTTTCTTTCTTTCTTTCTTTTAACTTAAATTCTTTTATTGGTACATTTTAGGTATACAGCACATTTACATTTATCTTTGGGTGCTTGTACCTGTACATGATATATCTTTGTTCTTATTTTTTCCCCATTACTTGTGTGCCCTTCACCCCTCCACCCTTCCCTATTTATATACTTCATTTCCATTCTTTTTTCTTTTCTCATAATTTTTCCTTTCCATTCTTTCCTTTCCCCATCTCCTCCCACCACACCTACCCCTTTGGACCTTTTCCTATTTCAAAGTATCAATTATTAGTTATTAATCCTTTTAGTCCTTATTTACACTCTCAGTTTCT